GTAATGTTCAATCATATGACCAGATTATATCCAACACAGGCAATATCGTTAGGTTATTGCACCTGAAAAACCTTGATTGCTATTCAGAGTTCATAAAGATCCATCACAAATCAAAATCAGAGTCAGTAAATTGTTGTATCATTCAAGCTACTAATTTATACCTGGAGTGAAACAGGACTAATTTGCTATATGCATCTGAGCTGTATGATATCTTAATGAATTAATCATTACTGACAATATGAAAACATAGATAAGGGTCTTTTTATTAAATGCATTCTAATAATGCAATATTGTGGAGACAGTTTCTCTGGCCTCTAGGAAGTGCACAATCTTTTCACGACTCCTCCTCTGGCTTCAGTCAAACCACTCTACTAATCTCTTAGCATCTCAAGAGTGCTTCAATAGCCATTCTGCGGTGTATCTATCGTGGTAAGGAGAAAATCCACTCAAGGGTAGCTTGTGGTAATAGCTACTGATGAGGGGGTGTATCTATCTTTTTCATTGCATTAAGGCTAAGGCAGCAGAGTGGCATGGTGTACCTAGCTGGAAATAACATGCAAGATGTCACACCACGCAACCTGCATGTCATACATGGGACTCATGCAGATGCATCAGGCAAAGGTGATCATCCACAATATTTTCTGCTCTTCCTTACTTCCCAGCACCTGTCCAAGCAAATTTGGCAAAATATAGTACAAGACTGCATAAACCACACACCTGGTGGAAAAGTAGTGCAGAATTTAGGCCATTCTACGGTCATAAGAAGCCAATATGGCCAGATGATACACCTACTGCACAGTTTAAGTAATCGCAAATACGCTGTGGGACAGTGGGTTGGTAAAGAAGCAAGTTGAGGAAGAGATGCTATCCACTCTTGTGTCATTATAACGAAGTCACTTTGCGTTAATTTGACTTAAATGTTGTATAAAAGGCACTCATTCTATTAAATGTATTATATACTAATGATAAATACTATTATAACACTACACACATATTTGTAAATTAAGCTGACAAATGAAATAATTTGACAAATAAATGTATTTGTCGAAAAGTGACAAAACACTTCATGAACTCAGTGTGTATCCTGTAGTTCTTGAATTTCAGTAGATGGTGGCCATTAAGCTTGATTACACTGTTGCAGATGTAACGAATAGAACAGATCTTGACAACGAAATGAAGTTCTGTTAAAAAGGATCCAATTCCCTATATTCATCTTGTCAGTTAGTACATGAAGTAAGTGTCAACGTTGCCAGATTTGCTGAGCATTATCTTGGGGTATGTCCCTTTGAGCAGTTTGATGCCACTTTCTTGAGATTATGTCCCTTTTAAACTGTGATAAAGCTTCCAAAATGCCATATCTCTTGCCAGGTCCTGAGGAGAACTCTGAATATGCAACTAAGCTCCACTAACCAAGCCAATTGACCCTCAATGTTTTATGTTATTGAAGAGAGGGGAGTTTGGCGGGTTCTCCAGTAACATTAACATTTTAAGCTGTTGGGATGTACTTTGATTTTGTCCATCCGGCATGAAGGGCACTATTTAAATGCAAGTTGTTGTTGTTTTGGGAATACAGCTCAAAATTTCAATTGATGACGCTAAACACAAGAGGGATAAGAATCCCTGAAGTTGGCAAAAGTTAAAGTGTTAAAAGTGAAGAGCACAGGGAAATATATAATAAAAATAATCATTGCACTTGATTTAGCACCTCATCAGCAGTGCAATTTTTATTGAAAACAATATTTTTCTGTTTGGCTATCCTATCAATGAACCCAACAGTGGCTTAGCCTTCCCTCTTGTTTTCCCCAAGTGGGTTCCCACTCATAGTGGACTGTCTGCTTTGTTTAGAGACCTCGAACCTCAGATTCCATTGACTCAACCTCAAGGTCATCCCTACACCTTTAATGTTGACTTCACTTTTGATATACCAGAACTTAAAGCATTTTCACATGGTCATTGTAGATTGCTATGCATCAAATTGAAATATTGTTTCATCCGTCATACCTATTTCCAGTTATTCCTGTCTATTCCAATCTCGCGTTCATTCCGTCTCAGCTCATTAGTTGCTCTTTCTTTGAAGTTGCTTCTTTCTGTCTCCCTCTGTACATTTTGTCAACATGTGATGTTACTTCCCACAGAAAACTGAATAACTATAGTGTGGATTTAATACCCTCTATTATAACAAAATAATAATCTTTGTATTTGATATAGCACCTTATCGCATCATCAAAATATCTCAAAATTCTTCACCCGATTTCACTGTAGAGTGTGGTGATGGTATAATTTACAAATTAATGCTTTCAGAGATCACACATTTCTGACCTTGTTTGTTGATGTGTTATACAGTACACTGAACATTGTATCAAAAAGTACCAGTGGGAAAATCTGAATTCCTGAGGTTCTCTTTAATTATCTACCTGGATGTTGGAAGGAAAATCCCATAAATTTCAAAGTGTGCAATAGGAACACCTTCCCCCACATCAAACAAAATCCTGGATTTCATTTTTTTTTATTTCATGAAGATATCGGTGACCTCTGTTTGGCCTGATGGCTCATGGTTTCTCAGGGTCTTGCATTACCTGTAACCAAAATGATGGTTTGATGACCAGTTTCCAGGCTATGACCCTTCCTGTCCTGATCTATACACTTGAGATTTAGAACAATTACCTTTCTGGCTTTTTTTCTATCTGCTTGGCACTTGCTTAGAGTGATAATAGTTGAGAGTGACCCAGTGTGAGGAAATTGAAATTCTGACCCTCCCCCTTCACTCCCTTATTACATGAGTGTAGTTCAATGTGCAGAGCCAGCAAGCCAACTGGATAATGTTAAGTAATGATGCATTTTTGTTGCTGGGATTAAAGAAATATCACTTCCAGCCATAGAATGATTAAGAACACAGACTTCCTGTTCCTGATGGAAGTTGAGGGTTGGCATTTCATGCTCGTAGCTATGAAGGTACAGAACTCTGACATTGAATGTTAGTTTTTTTAATTCTATTACAGAGCTGATTAATTTGATTCCCAACCGCTGCATTTTTACTTCAGTGGAGTAAATTAAAGTGGTGCTTACATAAGCTTCTCAATGTGGGGTTTATCATGTTCCACAATCCAAATTTATGTTATGCTCTTTGTAGTGTTTGACTAAGATACACACCACAGATTTATTGTGGTGTTTGACTAAGATACACACCACAGCTTTATTTCTATACAAAATTCATCAATAAGAGCAGTAAACTGTATTCACTAGGTAGTGGATGTGAACCCAGTGATTTAATATCAGTAAAAGATATATAGCTTTAGCAATTCATACCAACGCATGACTACCACAAATGTTGAATGCAAACTAAAGAATAGCCACCAATAGGTAACTTTCCACAGAGCTGCCTTGATCAATTTAAAATAAAGTATTGTATGTGTGAAGTGAAGGATGTTGTCCCTTTCCACTTACATTTGAGCATGTTTTTAAAAGAGAGGCATCTAGATGGTAGATTCAAAAAAAAACATTGGATTCAATCTTAGGGTTCAGTGGACATCTTTACCATTGTGTGTAAGGCTCCTAATAAATGTTGAGGGTGTGAGGTTCATCATCCACTCTACAGTATATTCTGTGAAGCGCTTTGAGACATCTCAAAGACATGATAGGGCACTATATCAAATGCAAGGCTTATTATTACTATTATTATCCAAGAAAATCCAATTCTTAGTTATGTTGCAATCATAGAAATTTCAGCTCAGAAAGGAGTCACTTGGGTCTATTATGCCTTGCACTCTTCCCATGATTAAACCAAATATGTGTAGGTGGAGGCTTGAGAGTGGGTTGGACATGATTTCTGCTTTGGGGATACCTAAGGAAGGGTTAATTGTTTTTTAAATGTGTGGGGAAAATATTTGTAATTTATTTCATCATTTCTGTTGGGACTGACCTTTGTATAGAATGTTCTGTTGAATTTGGAGTTTGTGTTTCCAGTCCTTGAAGTTGACATTCTGCATTGATTTTAGAAGTCCTTGGTACATTTCCTTTAATACTTGCTGCATCTTTGATTATTAAAACTCAGTGAATTTTTTTAGCTATAGAATTATTTATTTTGTGAAGATCATATTTGATATTAAAATGCTCATTTGGTCATTAAGCTAACTTATTGAAATGAGAAGAGGTTGAACCTTCTAAACCTCCACCCACTTCCCCTTCCCTGTTTTGCTTCCCTTATTACCCTCTACCAAAAGTGGTGAGTCATCCCAGGGTACATTTCCATAGACAGTGGAAGCATCTCTCTGTTATTTCACCCAGATATCTATTCTTTATATATGAATCTGGACAGTGAATGATGGACTATCAGAATCTTCCTGTCCTTCAGCAACCACTTTGCTATGAGCAAATTGTTGCCACATCCACCTACAAAAATAGTCACTACACTTTACAGTGAATCATGTGAAGCATTTTAAGATGTCCTCCCAATGTGGAAGGGACTATGTCAAATGCAAGAATTATTATTATTAATAATAACAACAGGATTGTGCTGATGTGATCTGGAACCGTAATTGTGAGAATGTGACTGGGACATGCAATATCTATTCCAAAGGCTGGATAGGTGGATGTTATTGAAAATCTTTTTACACCTAATAAAAGACCGAGGAATTTCTATTGACATTGTATCTGTTTTTGTGACATTTTATCTAGAAATAAAGTATGGTTTATTGTGATTGACAGATAGCCTCTAAAAGATCCTTCATTATTGGCTATCTAATTAAAAATGAACCACATATCTCTAGGCATTGTATAAAAGGTATAATTTTCCCATAAGATGGATGGCCGCGGAGCTGCGCTGAGATAGGACATTCTGTATTCTGGTTAGAAATGCCACAACTGTGCTGAATAAATTCAATTGGAAAGGAAAAAGTCAGCGTCACCAATGTCATCCGAAGCCACGATGTCCCTTGAAGGGTAAACCACTAAAATGTTATGCACGCCTCCAATTGATTGAAATTATGTTGTTTTCATTACAGAAAATTAAACAAGTGAAAGAGGAAGGGTCTGAGTCAAATGTATCCAAACCCTCCACCATCTCCCTGGACACCCTCAACAAGATCAACTCCAATAATGTGTGCATTATGGAAGAAGAGAAAAACTGTGTATCAAAGCCCGAGGCTGAGAAAGGCAGCGACAGAGGAAATGAAGAAACTTCGCTAAATTCCCCTGAAAAGGCTGGGGTGGATAACTTGGAATCTCTAAGTGATTCCTTGTATGACAGTTTTTCATCCTGTGCCAGTCAGGGGTCCAACGAGGTGTAGACACAAAACATTATGAAATGATCGTCCTGTCTGTCTATGGGGCATTAAAAATCAAACTAAACGAATAAAACAGCCGACAGGAGATATTCAGAACATTGCAGCAAAACATACCACAGTAGAATGTATTGTTTTAACTGTTTGAGTCGGGACTGTTCTGGACCAAACGTGTACTTTTAATTATTATAAACCGCCAACAGATAGGAGTTGGCGGAGGACACAACAGTTAAAAATAGAGAAACGCTGTAAGCAGATGAGTTGATTAAGACAGTTTTGCACTCTATAAATATTGTACTGATTTTTTTTGTAAATTGAAATTTATATTTGTAGCAAGAAACATGAAAGCAATAAATGCGAAAGCAATGGTGCCATCCTACCCGGGTTTACACATCGCGAGGTGGTTAGTTCGAGATTATTACACAATAAACGTATTGAGATCTTCCACAAGTTGTGCGTTTGCTCCAGTGACATCCAGTGTGGATGGACTGTTCAGTGAGAAGTCTCAGATATTTAACAGTGCGATGTGCGCCGTTTGATAATGTGCACAATCACCGTGAACACATCTGGGGAACTGTAAGATTTTATCTTCACGGATCTAATTGTTCCTGCCCACTAAATCGGGTCGGGTCGGTCCAGATCGGTGCAGTTGTATCTTTTCTCAGGTGAAATAAAGCGTTTTTGCTTTTTTTCTATATTTGCAATGGAAATGGATGGCTGTGTCGCTCAGCTCCAGAGGGTTTTTGTCTATTTCCATCCTCTCTTGTCAGGGATTTGTATAATATACTGGAGCTGTTTTCAGATGATTTAAAGATATATAAGCACATCTTGGGTTACGGGCCAGTATCGCCATTCTGATTAATCTTTCCCTCCTCTCATCTTTATACACCCCCCTGGGCTAACTCTGAGCTACAGTTACTACAGTACAGTACAGTGTAGCGTTTTGTTTGAAACACTGCAAACACATCCACTTTTTTTTACATAAAATAGCGCTGCTCTACCGGTGCTCACTGACACTTGGGCGATTTCTATGCTACTTGTTTTCTACTCGGTTTGTGTTCATATATATGGAAAATAAGTGAGATATTTGGGATGGTTTGTATTTTTGTCTAGCGGTCAGATATTTATATCTACTTTTGTACATTGAATTGTAAAGTAGTACATTGGATATTTTCTGGGATCTAAAATACACATATTTCTTTCATGGAAACAGCTGATAAAAGTACCACTTGTAAAAAAAAATCCGAAATGTTACGGTACCGACAGTGTTAAGGCAATATTTGGTGCAATCTAGAATGTTTATATTAGAAATTGTCATATTTTCGTGTAAGTAAGAACATTGTCAGAGAAAAATTAAAAAAAAGATTCCTCAACCTTTCAGATTTTAAGAGCCGGTGAGTGACTTGTGCTTATTGGACAAGTGATGTATTTCACTGTCATTTTACTCATTCCCTTAAACAGAACAATCAGAACCTGTGGGGAAACTTTCGGGGCGAATTGCTTAATCGCAACAAAAAAAAAACTGCCACTGAGTGGAGAATGCGCACGATTTAAATTGCGCGTTACACACAGCAATTGGGAAAAAAAATGAGTTGCGCGCAGTTAAAATTAATAATCGTGTCTTGACTGAAGAGCAAAACAAAAAGTCACTTCAGAATTGTAAGCCCCCAGTCTGGGGGGTGGGGGGTGGGGGGGGGGTGGGGGGGGGGGGGGACTGCGGGTGGATGGATGGAGTCGGTAATGATGGAATCAGTTGCCCGTTTAGTGAACAAAAAAAAACCGATGCGCAAATACACACATTATAATACAGGGATGTGTACACTATAATAACATGGAAACGCTCCCAAACAATCGGGTTCTACTCAACTAAGAAAACTTCCAGTGACTCTCTCTCCTCAGAGGTAATGAGGGTTAACTCTTTGAAGGCTGTGCTGGTGGGCGGTCACCGGGAAGCGAGTTTTACGTTGAAGGGGAAGGAGGGATGTGGAGCAGTATGTCGTGTATCTGCTCCTGTAGTTAGGTCAGTGCTGCAGCCCAGACTCCTGGATTTACTGCTGACTTACAGCCCCGCGTATACACACACACTCACACTCACACACACACACCCTCACACACACACACTCATACCCACACACACTCACACACTCACACACACACACTCATACCCACACACACTCACACACTTACCCATACTCACACTCACACACACTCACACACACACACACACACTCTCACACACACACACACACTCATACCCACACACACTCACACACTTACCCATACTCACACTCACACACACACTGACAGCAGCGCTCACACAGCACTGGCTGGAAAGCCATAAGCCATCCCTCGCTCCAGGCTCACACCTTCCCCCTCACACCTCTTCATCTCTGCACTGCACTCGCATTTCCATTTACATTTCCATCCCTCAGTGCTATTTTCCAGTTCCCACTTTTCATTCGCCTCTTTACAACCCCCCCCTCACTCCCCAATCTGAGCCAGTGAGCACCATCCCGACTCCGTACCTTACCTCGCGCTCTCCTCTCCACTGAGCTTCTTCGCCTTTTCTTCCGTTTCCTTTTTTATTTTTTCCTCCTCCCCCCTCCCCCCTCCCTCCCCTCCTCCTCCCCCCTCCTCCCCCTCCCCTCCCTCCCCTCCCCTCCCCTCCTCCCCTCCTCCCCTCTCCCTCCCCTCCTCCCCCCTCCCCTCCCCCCTCCCTCCCCTCCTCCCTCCCCCCTCCCTCCCCTCCTCCCTCCCCTCCCTCCCCTCCTCCCCTCCTCCCCTCCCCTCCCTCCCCTCCCCCATCCCTCCCCCCTCCCTCCCCTCCTCCTCCCCCTTCCCTCCCCTCCTCCTCCCCCCCCTCCTCCTCCCTCCCCTCCCCTTCCCCCTCCCTCCCCTCCTCCTCCCCCCCCCTCCCCTCCTCCTCCCCCCCTCCCTCTCCCCCCCCTCCTCCCCCCCCCCCTCCCCACTCCCCCTCCCTCCTCTCCACTCCCCCTCCCTCCTCTCCACTCCCCCCCCTCCCTCCTCCCCACTCCCCCCTCCCTCCTCCCCTCCCCCCCTCCCTCCCCCTCCTTCTCCCCCCCTCTCTCTCTCTCTTTCCATCATTTAAACATGTCTGGACGTCTCTCTCGGTTCCCAATGACAGATGGCCGCTGTGACGCGGTTTGTGTGAATGTCTGAATCCTCTCAGCATTTCCACTCTGTCCCTTCTCCAAACTCTCAGCTCTCCCAGACCCCGGCACCCCCCCAGCACCCCACCCAGCACCCCACCCAGCACCCCACCCAGCACCCCACCCAGCACCCCCCACAGCAACCCCCCCAGCACCCCACCCAGCACCCCACCCAGCACCCCACCCAGCACCCCCACCCAGCACCCCCACCCAGCACCCCACCCAGCACCCCCCACAGCAACCCCCCAGCACCCCCCAGCATCCCACCCAGCACCCCCCCAGCACCCCCCCAAGCACCCCACCCCCAGCACCCCAGCACCCCCGCCCAGCACTCCCCCCCAGCACCCCCAGCACCACCCCCAGCAACCCCAGCACCCCACCCCCAGCACCCCCCCAGCACCCCCCCAGAGCACCCCCAGCACCCCACCCCCCAGCACCCCCAGCACCACCCCCAGCACCCCCAGCACCCCACCCCCAGCACCCCTCCCCCCAGCACCCCACCCAGCACCCCCAGCACCCCACCCAGGACCCCCAGCACCCCACCCAGCACCCCCACCCAGCACCCCCCAGCACACCCAGCACCCCCACCCAGCACCCCCCAGCACCCCCAGCACCGCCCCCAGCACCCCCAGCACCCTCACCCAGCACCCCACTCAGCACCCCCAGCCCAACCTGCCACCCCCAGCCTAGCCCCCAACCTGCCAGCCCACTCTGCCAACCCAGCCCAGAGCCTTGCCCCCAGCCCAGCCTGTCACAGGCACAACATGCCTGTGTCAGTGCCTGTGTCAGTGCCTGTGTCAGTGCCTGTGCCTGTGCCTGTGTCAGTGCCTCTCAGCGTTGTCTAAAACCCAACCTGATCGAACGCTCCACAAAACTGCCTTCAGCCTTCAGTGCGGAGCTTCACAGAGAATGGAGCTCTTGTTTTACTCAACTTTCTGCGGATTTTTAGCTTCCACAGGTAAGCTCTAACCTCTCTCTCTCTCTCCTCCCTCCTTCCCTGAGCCAAATTCAATTGCACAGGACAAAAAATTCAAGTCATTATTTTGCCTAAAATAATAGTGCAGAAAAAACCCAATAATTTTCGTTCTAAAATTCTGCTGCTCACTTCCTTGTTTGGTCCCCAGTCAACTTATATGCAAGGTTTTTTTTATTTAAAGAAGGCGTTTTTCTGCGGTTTAGTTTACGTTTAATCGCTGTGTGTGAATCGAAAGGCTGTGTCGCTTAAGTAATGACAATAAAAGTTAATACAGAGGATTAAAGAGCAGTGATCAGATGCTCAGCACAGTGTGCCAAGCCTGGACTTGAGATGTTGCAGATGACAGATGGTTTGCAGTATCCCGAGTTATTTCGCTATCTGCCCATTTTCCCTTTGCAGATACAATTCCTTAGACACACTAAGAGAAGAAAGGCTGTCTCGACAGTCGATTTACCGACATCGTGTTCATTTTAACTTTATTTCAGGGCTTGGGTTTCAAATCCAGTGTTATCAGTGCGAAGAATTCCGATTAAACGATGACTGTTCATCTCCAGACTTTATTGCAAATTGTACAATCAACGTGCAGGACATGTGTCTGAAAGAAGTGATTGTAAAAAGTGACGGTAAGAAACCATCATTGCATTGGGAATTATTTATTCAGATCCACTTGTTTCAATTTATCCTTAGGCACAACGACTTTTGTCGGTGGGTGAAGCATAAAGCAACGGAATATAGATTAATCTGACACTGTAACCTTGTAATTAAAATTTCTTCCCCTCCACTAGCTACAATAAACATTCCTGATTTAATTTGTATAGACCAGCCAGTTTCTGTCTGCAGTGAAGTATAGCCCCATCGCCCAATGGAGTGTTCGGAGTTCTGGTAACTAACCCAGTTTTCAATATGCGAAAAAATAAATCTTATACACATAAAAGTGAGCTGATCGATTAATCTGCCCATTCGGTTTTTTCTTCTGTATTCATCGGTCTGTCCTGACGCACCTGCACATTGAAATCGATTCATTCCAGTACTGTGGTGCGATTGTAGCCTTTAACTGTATGAATGTTGGAGGCTGTAAACGCTTTGAACTTCAGTGGAAATGATTTTCCATTTCGAAGATAATTTGGGGAAAAGCATTTGCAGGAAACCGGATTGGTTTAAATTTAGCTTTACAGCAGTTTAAGACTTTCAAAGGTTTGAATTCTGAATAGTAGGAGGAGCAGTAAAGCATGCAGTAAACTTGTAAAAAGAATATGTAAGTTTGCATTAACGCTTCATCATTAAGTGTCAGCAAGTTCCTGACATGTATTTTTTTAAAAAAATTGGTCACTCAATCCATGACTGCTTGTGGGACACCGCTGTGCGCAATTGCCTGCCGTGTTTCACCCACAAAATACACAGTCAATCCACTATATGTATTCGGTGAAGCCCTTTGAATAGTCTCAATGCACTATATCAAATCCAAGGATTATTATTATTATTTTGGAAACAAACTAAATTCCCAATTTGAGGCAAAATGTGAAAAGTTAATGTCATTACATTTTTGCATGATCTTGTCTGCAGTCATTTTCTGTGCTGTACAGTCATATAAATAAGTATTTTTGATTGATAATTAGGATAATCAGAGGTTATTTTCAACATTTTCATTGCACATCCAAATGTTCCACATAATAACCAAAATAATATTAAATAGAGTATTTCAAAGTGTTATGGAAAACAGTATTATATGCTATACTTGATATACAATTCTGAATTGAGAAGTTTAAATGAAGAAAGCGCCAGAAATTCCGACTGTATATTGACTTAAAATTCTCTTATAAAACATCCTGTGTTCCAGTGTCAACGCAATCCAAAGGTTTACATTTACCCTGAGGTGTAGAACAATTCTTGTCCAAGCCATCTCTGCGCTATATAGAATCGCGGTCATTGAGAATTGGACATCACTTACTGCCAAAAGGTCTCAAGATAAGTTTTTTTTGCGCTGAAGTCTGAAAGACTGCAAGCCCATTTTTCTTAGTCACTATCTTGCTTGAACAGAAGCCTACAGAGTTGTTAAGATGTTTAATTTTGTTTTGGCTTTTTCCCAAAATGTTATATTTATTGGTGTTTGTAATTAACTTATTGATGTTTATAATTGACATCCTAATACATAGCTCATATGCATTTTTTAAAAAAATAATTCGCTACAATTTTTTAAAAATGTTGCCCTCCTCTCTTAAAAGCATTAACTCATGTTATGATGCAATTTAATTGGCACCAATTTCCCCCTCTGGTATGTCTTTAAATGATTATTTTGCAATGAGTGCTGGCAAGTTATTTGATTGGGGCTGTACAACCATTTTTTGCTGGAATGATTGGATAGTGATCAAAAATGGGGACCTTCCCTGATTTTTTTCTTTCTCCCCCGCTCATTGGTGCTGCTGCCAATTGTAATTCCCCTGATATTGCTATGCTTAAGATAAGCAAACTCATCACAGATGGTGAAATAGAACATGGGACATTATCTGCTTACCAAAGTGTGTGTTGGGATACTGCTGGAGTCAACCAGCTTAAACCACATTGCTTGCCATTAATATTGCTGCATTGCTGGAGATAGTGTCTTTTGAATGAGACATCTTGTCCACATATTTTTGAGGCATACAATAAAGATGCAATGACAATTCAAAAAGAATTTCACCCAGTGTCCTGGCTAACAATCATTCAAAGTAATTGGTCATTCACCCCATTTGTGAGATTTTATAAGTCCAATTTGCTGCTAAATTCACTCAAAGAGGCTGTCCCCTCACCCTAGATATGTTTTAATCACGTTTTGTATTTTGGTATGATAAGACGCTCCAAAAATGCAACTTCTTAAAATAATTTAACAGTATAGTAAACAATTAATATTAATCAGTAAGTTACACATTAGATAATGAATAGTTTTCCCTTTTCTAATTCTGAGTCAATTCAGAGAATGTTATAAAGTATAGTAGTTGCGTTTTGCTCTTTTGGATTGAAATGTTATAATAATAATCCTTGCATTTGATATAGTGGCTTATCTCATCTTTGAGACATCTCAAAGCGCTTCACAGAATATACTGTAAATGGATTGACAGTATATTTTGTGGGAGAAATGCGGAAGCCAATTGTGCACAGCAATATCCCACAAACAATCATGGATTGAGTGACAAATTATTATTTTTATTTTTGAAGGGATTGTTACTTCTGGAAAAGCGATCTGCCAATTGACTAACACCCGGTTCCTCCTTACTGCTAGGTAAACAGAGATGTGTGGAGTAAAGAAACTTGCCTAACTTTTCGTCCTGCCCAGGAATCGAACCCAGATCCTCTCGCTTGCGAGGCGAGTGCTCCAACCAATAAGCTACAGTACTCCACAATGTTCCAGAAACTCCTTAATTAAATTATAGATAAGCAAATAATTCTACATTTGTCTATATGGAAAATGACAATAGTTATATGAGAATATAGATTCCCATCATTTTGTAAATGTCACAGAATTGAACAAACATAATACAAGCGTATCCTTGAGAAGGTAAAATGGTAAACAACCAATCTGAATCTGGGTATCAGGTTTTATGGAAATTGGTTTTATTTTCTTAGCAAAGGGAAGACTTTAGGTTTTCAAGATTATGAAAACAATTAATAAAACGAATTCAGGTAGGTTGTTCACTGTGATGGGTCCATATGTTGTGGGAGATAAATGAGTAGTTTGCAGGTTAAGAGTAAGAAAATAAATCAGGCAGAATTTCTATTCTACAAAAGAAAATAGATTTAGGGAGTAAGTTAGCATAAAAGCAATTAATATAAAAGGGTTTCAGAGGCAACTAGACGTGTTTCTGGAAAAATAATAGAATGAAGAATAATAAGTGGAGTCCTGTAGCTCAGTGGTTAGAGCACTCGCTTTGCAAGTGAGAGACCTGAGTTCAATTCCAGGCAGAGGGCGAAACATTGGGCAAGTTTCCTTACTCCACACGCCTAATAATAATCCCTCCAAAAACCAAAAACAATAATAAATTGGTCATTTTCAATCCACGACTGTTTGTGGGACATTGCTGTGCGCAATTGGCTGCCGCGTTCGCCCACAAATATACAGTCAATTCACTTTACAGTATATTCTGTGAAGCGCTTTGGGACATCCTCCCGACATGAAAAGCGCTATATCAAATGCAAGGATTATTATTATTATTATTATATGGTCAAAAGGTGACAAGGTTAGGTCGAGATCAGTCAAAAAGGGACTAGATTTGTTGAGAATAATATTTGAACTCTCTGCAGAATAGTAAAAAACATTTTTTCTATATGAAGTACAAACTACGAGTATGTGTGCCTGCATGTATGTGTATAGATGAGTACATGCATGTATAATACAAAATTACAAACATTGCATTTTTTGTTTACGGTGGGATTCATAATACTTTTGGACAAAGTGCCTTTTGGTTCTCTTCTCATGGACTCAAGCTTATTTTTCTTCCAAAGAATAAATAACATTTGGAAAAAATGGTCTCATTTTTAAAATAGAGCTCTTTCAGGTAGAGTCATAGTGCCAGCAGTATACAAACACAAAATGGGCTCAGAGATTTTTTTGATTTGTGCAGATCAAAGGGGTCTAGTAACAGAAATTTAATGTCTTTGTGTGGTTAATTAACAAGAAGGTTTTGCATTGGATGGAGAGATGAAATGTCTGCAGTGTACCATTCTATTTTAGTACGTACTGATAAATCCATCTTCAAAGAGTAGTCACCACACATCAAAAGAACTTTCCAGCTGTTAAACCTGAGCTGGAAAGCAGTTCTTCACTTCAGTTAGGGACCAAGTGAACTCTGAGATTTCCATCAGTGGCTCTTGGCAGAGAGAATTTTTGTTATTCAGCCTTTGGAAGAAAAAGAAACTGAATGCTGTCTAAGCAAGTAATCTGGAGATACCCTTTTTGTAAAAGAAAATTTTGAGAGTTGCTCTGAAAGTCAGCGTGTGAAGTGTCATTGTTGGTTTTAGTATTTAACGATTTATAAACTGTGTCTAATGCTGGTAAAGGCTGGAATTGTGTCCGGTGCTCGTTTAGTGCTATTTAAACTGCTGTAAATAAAACAACTCTAACTTGTGTGTATTAGCCAGGCGTAAACGCATGTGCATAGGAGAATTACAGGTGAACATAATTATGTAAATGACAACCAATAAAAGGATTTAGGTGACCACTCATCTTTGAGGTCAGAGTACAGTGTTCCAGATTGTAGGGGATATATATGACAGTATCAGCTGTTGAGATGGTTAATGAGAAACACTACTCTTAAAAGCAAGCTGCTCAAGTTTCACCCTCATGACTCTTGGTTCCATCCAAGATTCTTAATCAGATTAAGTTATATACAAGTTATATCCATCTTAATTTAGGGCAGACCCTCAATAAACAATTAAGAAACAAGACAGAATATATCATTAATACATTTGGAAAATAATATAGATTGTTTTCAAGACTAGGCATGGCATAAACTTTGCCTCACTAACTCATTGCCTCTTATATTTTGGGTGCTCTTATTGTAATAGCTCCTAAATTTCATGATGATTTATGACAAAGTCATAATTTTTAATCCCAAAGATATCTAAACAATTTAGGAAATCACTATGGAAC